TTTTACAGAATAATCTAAATATTTCCTAAAATTGTAATAAATATACCTGAGCTATTACAAGTTTTGGGTCTTTTATTGGTCCTTTATAAATATAAGCTGTACAGAACAATAGAAAAAGGTTTGGACAGGCCAAAAGCCCTATGTATTAAAGATTACATAGCCGTATCTTAAGATTATTTTCAATTAGTACCTATTTGCCAATTTTGTTTTATTTTAATTCCAAGAATTTCTTACAGTAATCGAATTATAAGTAGATAAATACCTTCCCAACAAATTTCACCGAAAACGCGATTATAGGTTTTCCATTTAGTAAGGAGGTCCAAGTTGTGTATTCTTGACAGTTTACTAAATGTCGTTTAGTTGCAACTTGCAAGGTGCAGTGTGAATTCTAGTGTGATCATTGAAAATTTGGAAGCGCCGCGTAAATGACAAAAAATCGGTCCTTTAACAGTTAATGAAAAAACATTAATATTTAATTGTTTTAAATCATTTACAGACAAACATTTATGTAAAAGTGTTGATGACACAGTGGAATTAGTTAGTAATACGCTTGGTGTTGGGAAATCTACGATTTACAGAGTTGTTAAAGAAGGGAAATGTGGCGAGTTTCAAACAGCACGTAAAGCTCCAGGAAAACCAAAATTTCAATTAGAAAATCTTTTAAAAGAAAGACTTCGAAGGAAAGTGCATGCGTTCTTCTTTAAAAAAGAATTTCCGACAGTAGACAAAGTTCTTGCCACGGTTCGAGATGATAAGGATTACCCTGAAATGAGTCGAAGCACACTATGGAAACTTTTAAAAGAAATAGGTTTTCTATGGAAAAAGCATTCCAGAAAGTCTATTTTAATAGAAAGAAGCGATATTGTAGTATGGAGAAGAAATTACTTAAGGACTATAAAAGAAATGAGAAACCAAAGAAGAAATATATTTTATTTAGATGAAACATGGATCAACGAGGGACATAAACCAAATAAATTTTGGCAAGATGAAACTGTTACAAGTCGAAGACAGGCATTTTTAAATAATTTATCTACTGGTTTAAATCCACCATCAGGAAAGGGGCACAGACTAATAATAGTACACATCGGTAGTTCAAACGGTTTTGTTAAAGGTGGTTTATTGACTTTTGAATCTACTCGTACCGGTGACTACCATGAGGACATGAATGCTGATGTCTTTAAAGAGAACTGTATAATAGTAATGGATAATGCAAGTTATCACTCGAGACTTATAGAAAAAATGCCCACAACCAAGTGGTTAAAAAAAGATTTACAGAATTATCTAAATTCAAAGAATATTAAGTTCCATCATGGTTCTATGAGAAAAGAACTGTATCATTTGTGTTCCCTTCATAAAGAGAAATTCAAAAAATATAAAATTGATGAAATTTGCAAAAAAAATCGTGGGATGACGGTGGTTAGATCACCACCATATCATTGCGAAGTAAACCCGATTGAAATGATATGGGCACAGATAAAGGGAGAAGTTTCAATAAAAAATAATTCTTTTAAAATGAGTTAAACAGTTGTTTTTGGAGGCTGTAAATAATGTGAAACCTGAAAACTGGGAAAAGGCAGTAAATTATACGATTAAAGAAGAAGAGAAAATGTGGAAGTTGGACAATATTACTGATGAAATGATCGAGCCACTCATTGTAAATATTAGTTGCGACAGTTCATCTTCTGATTTCGATTCTGATTTGGATTTGTAGGTAAGTAGTTTTTATATTAAAATTATTATTTATGAACGTAACGTTGTTTAAAAGTCAAAGTTTAAACCCTTATACCTACATAACCCGTTTGTCACAATGTTCTTAACATACCTTGTGGAAAAATAAAACATTTTAGAAAAAATTGAACTTTTTTACCTTCAGCTGTTTAGAAGTTATAAGCAGGTTAATTAGGTGAAAATATAAGTGTATACTCGAGGAATAACTTCAAAAAATATTTTGTCTACTAAAAGAAGTGAAACGCCTATCGATTACGAACGCTTTATTATTTTAATATTCTCTCATACATAAAAATAGACTATAGGTACTTCAATTGAAAACTCCGCCCACAATTGGTCTTTTAGCCAATAATATTACTTAACGATGAGTATAATTAGTACTTAGGGACGTAAAAGTAAATGGAGTATTTAGTTTCAACTGCATCCTTGAATAGTAATCATGGATAAGGTAGAATTTTTGAAAAGTGCCAAAGGTAATGTGCAAGTTATTAGTGGAGGATTCAAGTATTTTTTAAAAAGGACCAACAAAAACCAGAGTAAGAACTGGAAATGTGTAAACAGAGATTGCAGTGGACGAATCACAACAAATCAAGAAAATTAAATAATAAAGACATTTACACACAACTGTCTAAAAGCTCCTAATGAGGCATACACAGATACTGAAAAATGCATTGCAATATGCAGAAAACGTGCTGCGGAAGAAATGACACCAATACCAAAAATATATCAAGAGGTGTTTAAGGAAGCAAAAGAGTTCATGACAAAAATTCCACAGTATGAAAGTATAAAATCATCCTTATACCGACAACGAAATAAATCTTTGGGAATACCACAAGTACCAAAAACGCGTGAAAATCTTGTCATTCCTAGTCACATAAATGAAGAATTTCCGGTCAGCAGGTACGTAGATAGGTATGGTAATCCGCACTTAATATCTGAACCACATACTTATGAATGTTTTGATGTCATTAGTCAATTCATAACACATATTATTTATGATTGTTAATCTTCTTATATATTAATTTATTTTTAATTTTATTTCCGAAAATAACCGGGTCAATTGATTTTCTTATTGTTCAATTATAAATTAAATAATAATAATAATAATAAATAAAATAAGAATTCAATGTATAATATTACGGGGAGCGTTTAATATAGTTTCTAACTGAAAGTGAAATAAAAATATTCCTTATCAATCATTATTAAAATGTAAATTACTAAAACAAAATTCAGAACTGCAACATATTTATTATGTGATAGAATCTCGTGTTCGGTAGTGGGATATACAAAAAATAAGTAAACCCTGCGCGGGCGGTAGTGGCACTCGCGCTGATAGTTTTTGGTCGCGGTCGGTAATGGGACAGGGATATAGCTTTTCTTTTTATTTTGATTAACTATTTTTTTTGTAATTTTATAAAAAAAATATAAAGATATTTGAGTTGGAAATAATATTTCCTGTTTAGCCTGAAATTAAAATTTGGCATTCCTTTGGTTGCGATTTACCTGACCTACTAAATAACACTTAATGATCGTGTATATACATATTTATCGTAACTAGGAAATTCCCACCTTTTAACAGGTAGTCAACAATCGTTCCCCTTATTCCTAAATTCTTTGTAATATAAGGTTTTAATAGGAGGATTATAATAATTATTTATGAGATTTCATTTAGTCTCAACTAAACTTTTCCGTAGTAAGCATTAAAAATATAATTTTTAAAAATGTGTGACGTTGCGTTTGTCCAATCAAAGCGGGGTGCTCTCGTTATGTTATATAAAGGCTATAAGTTACATAAATATAGGCAAAACAAAGATTTATTGACGAGGTGGCGATGTTCTTCAAGAAAATGTAGTGGAAGTGTGACAACGGGAGAGGAAATTAGAATTGTTGCTGAAAGATATCATACTTGTGTTGTAGATTATAAAAAACAAGAACGAGATGAAGTGGAGTACATTCCTACAACTGTTGAGTAGGTAGTTTGGTTCTTAAAACTAGTGATTAATTACTCATTAAGTTCTTTTTTTTTGTAGATAAATATGCTTGAATTGTTGTTGTAAATAAATATATTATTAATAATTTATATACAGAAATAGTCGCCTCTTTAATGAACCTAATTTTACTATCAAAATATACTATTTAATCAATTCGGGTTTACTTTTGCTATTTTTTTTTTATAATATTGTAATGTTTATTTAATTCATATTGACTATTTATACTATTACATTTTGTAACTTGATTTATTTATATCTCAAACTAATTTATATTAACAATATGTATCTTAACAAATCGATGTATATATTATATGTTGAACTCAAAAGACAAAATTAGGCTAGGTTTGTTCTAGAAGATCCTAGACGTTCTAAAATTAAAGGACCCCATTGCAAAATGTTGGGTTGATCAGTAATATGACTAAATTTTCGTGAAAATTCCGGGTAACATATAATAGTAATCCATCCTCAGCTACGCCAATATCCTTTGCGTTTTACGTCATATCTGAATGCATTTTTTTGTTGACGATTACACACTGTATTCCAAAAATTTAAAAGTATTTTATTCTTTTATTTTTATTTACTCTATACCACCTACATTTACTGAATTTTACAGTAGATCCCAAGAAGTGATGCGAAACATTGTATCTAGAGTAATGTTTTTTTTAACACAAAACTTTTTCTTGTATAATTTTTTTGAGGTCATACTTGTATAATAGATTGCGACGTGCTCTTCGAGCACGTCGTTAGCGACAGTGTCTAATACATTCTGATGATAACGACGCACGTCGCAATCCATTATACAATGTATTCCAAAAAAATGTACACATGAGAAAAAGTTTTGTTCAAAATTTAAAAATATTTTATTCTTTTATTTTATCTACATTTTACCGAATTTTACATTTGATCCCAAGTGATGCTAATCATTGTATCAAGAATAATGTTTTTTTTTTTTTGACATAAAACGTTTTCTTTTGTATAATTTTTTTGAGGACATACTGTATAATAGATTGCGACGTGCTCTTCGAGCACGTCGTTAACAACAGTATCTAACTACACTTTGATGATAACGACGTGCTCGAAGAGCACGTCGCAATCCATTATACAGTGTGTTCCAAAAGTCTAGTCGATGACTAGCTGTTGCCTTGTTGTCATTTTATTATGCCCAACTTGAAAAAATAAGTTCTATTTATTTAAGTAAGACTATTCTTTTTCAAACTAATCCATCATTTATTATTAATAGTATTATATTACATTATTAACGTTTATTTTTGTTTGTTACAGTGATTTGGCAATAGAACATGTAGACGTAGGATCCGTATCGACATCATGTGAAGAACAATCCGACTCTAATTTGGAATTCCTTCCAGAATCAGAGTAAGTAGCTTAATAATAAATTTATACTTTTTTAAATAATTACCAAACGTAATATATTTAATATACTTGATCAGTAATCAGAATCAATCCTAAAAAATGTTTTTATGTCCATAGCTTTCTGCTAGGTTGCGAAATCTGTCACAAAATATATTTGGGTGTTTTATAATATATTCCTTTATTAAGATTGGTAAAAAATATCAGTTCACCTATTCTTAAGTGGTTGGGGAAATTTGCTTTAAAAGACTGTAAATATATGTAAAGATAAAAGAAAGATTTCAGAAACAAATAAAAACAACTAGTGGACGTTATGTAACACCTATCTCTATTTATGATTTTTTATGTGGAATTTCAAATACAGTGTCATAAATCTAACCAGCTTTCAAAGAGACAGATAAGATAACTTATTGACCTGTCAAAATCCCAAACTGATATCTCTTGTCATTCTAAAGATATTGGCATTTTTTAATATTTTGATGATTTTGTAACTAACCTTGTGAGTTGTACAAGAATGATGTTGCTAAAATTATTTTGAAAACAAAATACCAAAAATATTTATTAACATAAAACTAAAATCAAGAAATTTACAAAACACAAAAAAAAAAACTAGAATAAAGATGTATTAATGTTTGGTATTCTATATTATACCTTTCATAGTTTAACCCCTTCTCTCGAAAGTAAATCTATAATAATCTTCACAGACTGCTATGTTTTATTATTTCATTATTTGTTAATAAATATTTTTGTGATGCAATTTTACTTGTTATTTTGTTCTCAAAAATAATTTTTGCAACATAATTTATTTTATAACTTACAGTGGCTCTTATAAACCAAAAATGCCAACATCTTTGGAATGATAAGAGATATCAACTTGCGATTTTGACAGGTCAATAAGTCACCATATTTGTCTTGTTGTAAGCTGGTTAGAGGTATAGTATTGTATTTAAAATTTCTCAGAAAACAAAAACAAATGAATAACGCTCTCTAGTTGCCAATTGAAAGATTACACGTGTTCTGTAAAAGCTGAGTAAACCGTACCCTGCGTAACTTGGAATCTTGTGTTTGACATAAATTATTGTGATTACCTACATTTTATGATAGGCCAGTCAATAAAGACATCATATTTTGAAAATTTCACACTTTGTAATAATAATAATCAGCTAGTTTAAATGTACAACCATTTCCAAAGGTCTGGAATTAGTTAATGTATAGCAAAATGGCGCTTTTGTTTATGATTTTGAAAAAAAAGTTGCAAAGAAACGTCTTTAAAAAATTGTTTACGTCCCTATGAAATTACAATTAAAAAATATTGTGTCGTTACAAAGTACCTAAGTATCTAAGTACTTGTTGACTTTTGCTTAGAAGCAAATTTCTACAACACAGTTTATTTTAGCTCCATAAAAGGTTAATAATTACTTTTTTTAACTACAAATTAACAGAGAATTAAAAAAAAAATTAAACAAACATTTTAAAAAATATTTGTTCCAATGGCATAAAAATAGGGAAATAAAGTTGCCACTAACCCCGATATTGCGCCACTGGTTAAATAAGGAACATTATTTAAAATTATACTAGGATGCAACCTATTTTAGAATATAAAAATTATATTTTTCAAAATAATTTAAATATTCAAAAAACTATTGCTGAATTTGATCAATACTGTCGCATACCTCATTAAATCTTCGCCTATTCGTATATATTTATTAAATCCCTTATTTTTATTATTATTATTTTTTTTTTTTTTTTTCAGAGAACCGCCTTTACCGACGACATACCCGAAACCCTCCTCCTCCTCCACATTACCGCCTAAAGATATGAAAACATATTGCAGACTGTGTCTTAAACCTGTCACTAAGGTGCAGATGATTTGCTTGGGCGATTTCCACGACATAAACTATCCATCCAGAACGGTCCAATTCAAACGGAACAAAATTCTGCAAACCGAAATGTACCTAAGAATGATAAGGATCGTAATGCCGAATTTCGTAAGTAATTTTAAAATAGTAATATTAATATATTAGATAGACAATTAATAAGCAATACATTAGCAATCAATAAGAAATAAGTTAGCAATAAATTAGCGATAAAATAGCAAAATATTAGCGATACATTATCAGTAAGTTAGCAGTAGATTAACAGTAGATTAGGAATAAATTGAATTAGCAATATATTATCAATCAATAAGAAATTCACAACAAATTAGCAATAATTTAGCAATACTTTGACAACAAAAAATAGCAATAGTTTAGATTAGTGATACATAGCAAAATATTAGCAATAAATTAACAGTAGATTAGGAATAAATTATTAATAAATATGAAATAAATTAGCAATAAATTCACAATAAATTAGCTATATACTAGTTTAGCAATACTTTAGCAAAAGATTAACAATATTTAAACAAAAAATTAACAATAAATTAGATTAGCAGTAAAAATCAATATATTATCAGTAGATTAGCAATAGAATAACAGTAGATTAGAAATAAATTATATTAGCAATACATTATCAATTAATAAGAAATAAATTCACAATAAATTAGCCATATACTAGATTAGCTATAATTTAGTAAACTATTAGTAATACTTTAACAGAAAATTAGCAATAGATTAGATTAGCGATAAAATAGCAAAATATTAGTAATAAACAGTAGATTAGGAATAAATTATTAATCAATAAGAAATAAATTAGCAATATTTTAACAAAAAATTAACAATAGATTAGATTAACAATAAAATAGCAATATATTATCAGTAGATTAGCAATAGATTAACAGTAGATTAGAAATGAATTATATTAGCAATACATTATCAATTAATAAGAAATAAATTCACAACAAATTAGCAATAAATTCACAATAAATTAGCCATATACTAGATTAGCAATAATTTAGTAAAAGATTAGCAATATTTTAACAAAAAAAAATAGCAATAGATTAGATTAGCGATAAAATGGTAAAATATTAGCGATGTATTAACAGCAGATTAGCGATAAATTAACAGTAGATTGGGAATAACGTATCAATCAATAAGAAATAAATTAGCAATAAATTAGCAATAAATTAGCAATAAATTCGCAATAAATTAGCCATATAAGAGATTAGCGATACTTTGGCAAAATATTAGCAATACTTTAACAAAAAATTAACAATAGATTAGATTAGCGATAAAATAGCTATGTATTATCAGTGGATTAGCAATAAATTAAATTAGTAATAGTTTAATAATTTTATAGCGATGCAATGACTTTAGTAATAATCTATTTTAGCCTTAGATTAGCAATAGATTTGCGATAGATTTGCGATAGATTAGCAGTAAATTAGTTTTAAGTAATTACAACTATTTTTCTTTGCGTTCAGTTTCTTCTTCAATTCGGGGTGGCTATGAAATTCAAACATTGCTCACTCTGTATATTAATTCTGACACTGTCAAAGTTGTTCGTAGACGTACACAAAAATTGGTAACATCGCTTTCCGTTTTCTATTACATATTTTTAACAGTTTCATTGCTAAATCTCATACAGTACGTTACGACGCATAAAGCAAAATAAAGATAATATGCTTAATTATATAAGGGCGTGAACTGTTTTAACACGCTATTTCGACGGCAAGTTAAAGGATATTACAGTACGCAGTCGGTGACGTATTAATTCTATTTCTCTCTATTCAATAGCATTGCGTTTCTACAGGATGTCCCATTAGTGCGCAATTGCCCAATAAATCAATTTGTGTTATAGAAACACAAACGAGTTTCGAATAAAAATTATATGGATTTGAAAAAGACTTAAAATATGTCTTTTTGGATCTACAGGGTATTACCAACATGTATTTTTATTTCAGTTTTTTTTTCTTAGTTTTCATTAATTCCTACTTTAATTATGGTAATTTTTTATTTGGGTTCTGCATCATTATTTAATTTCAAAAAAAAAATTGTTTGATAACTTAAATAAAATACAGGGTGTTTCATTTAAAAAATATACATTTTTACTTGCCAAACATAAGCGTAACATTAAAAACTAACTGTGCCACAAGATTCCGTATTGAGTCTTACTGTATGTTAATGAACTACCAAAAGTTGTCAATGAAATTTTAGTACAATACTTTTTTTTAGTGAAACAACATTTGCTTTATCTTTCTATTCTTTCTTTTTTATTTCCTTCAAGAAAAGTCCCATCACTATGACAAACATAAAACATGAATACTTGTAAACAAAAGGATTGGTCTAGTTGTTGTTCATTGTTGAAATGTGTCAAATTTCTATAGCCACCCAAATTAAAAAAAAATTAACCACATCGCATTTATGTAGACATTGAATAAAACTTTTATTTGCTTTCAGGACCACAATTTAGTCTTCAATCCCGTGATGTGCAACGACTGCAGTACTCGCCTTCAGATGGCTTCCGATTTCGTCGAGCAATGTATGACCACCCAGAAGGTCATCCAGGAGTTCAAGGAAACGCATTGCCCTTCGGAAGAAATGGTGTCTTGCGAAGACGTTGTCTACAACAAATCACTGCTGCAACCGGACTTCGAAGAAGGTCCTACACAACCAAAACAGCGGAAGATAGTACCCAAACCGTCAACCTCGAAATCTGTAGCCAAATCGAAAGCCGCCGTTAAACCGTCGCCATCTGTTGAACAACCGAATGAAACTCAGACATTTCCGCCCGACGAGGAATTTCAACATAGTTCAGAAAATATAAAAATTGAAAATATGGACGGTGAGGAAATGGAATTCGAAGATAAATATGAAGTAACTCCAGAGGAAATTTGTTTTATTAAACAGGAGCCTGTTGAAGAAGCGCCTCGAATTAAGACTGATGATGCGATTCATACAAATGTACCAATTAAGACAGAACGTGAATATTCTTTACTGACTAATTCTGTTGTAAAAAGTGAACCCTGTTCGACTTCTACCTCAGACTATACCATAATGACTGATCCAAATAATGTTAAACAATTTTCTGCAGCTGACGTGTCTTGTAATCTGAATTCGAATAACTCAAGTTCTTTAGTGCATGCAGTTGATTTACCTTCATCTTCTAATATACCAATTTCGAATTATTGTCCTGGTATTCAGAATATTGCACCAGAGGCTTGTATTAATGCTGTTAATCCGACTGCTTTTTCTAGTGTTAATTCACAATTTGAAAATAGTCAAAATAGGTAGAATGTTAGTTTGTGATTTTTAAAGATTTACTACTGTTTTTTTACTATGTAAAAATTGTGATTTATTATGTTATGTGTAACATACTTTCCGACGTTTTATTTGCATAAACTATTTTTCTTAATATTGTTTTTTATCTTTATATCCTATCAAATAACATTATCAAGGTACTTTTTAACCTAAAAAATCGAAATAATTAATAATAGGGGAGAGGGTTTGAACACTTTTCGGTCTTTTGTATTTAACTTTTTATTTAAACACATTTTATTAGGTATTTGTGTATTAAGCCATACATTGTTCCTTAATATACATATCTTTTCTATTGAACCAGGGTTAACTTTTATAAAAATTTTAAAATAATTATCTAAACAACCCCACTACATTTGTTCAAATCCTCCCCTGGCTGATGTGCCTTTGAACAGAAAAGGAGAGGGTTTGAACACGTCCAGAATGAACTATAAAATAAAAAAAAATATGCAGGAAAGGCCAAATAAATTTTATTTACTAAAGGTAAGTAACATTTAGGTACATATTTTATCTTAAATCAAATTTATCAAAACACACATCATTAGATCTGAATATTTTTGTAGCTCGCAACGTGCCACCGGTGATTGAGGGTTGAGGTAACGTTAAAATAAGAGACATGTCATTTTTTTCATTTCAAACATTTTATTCAACATTAAAAAATTTTACACTAATATATATACATATAATACAAAAACATACTGTACACAGGACGAATATCTGAACAAATGCCATTTATTGCGAGTATGAAGAGCGTAGGACTCAAATCTGAACCTTGCGGAACTCCATTCGACTGTGAAAACGTCTGTGATAATATACCATTAGCTGCCACTTTAAAACTTTTATTACTTAAAAAACTCTGAAGCAAGAGTAAATTTTGTGGTGTATATTATATTCTCTGAGTTTTTGAAGGAGGATGGTAGTTAATACAGTATTAAAAGCATCTTTAATATCAAAAAAGGCAGCAATAAGCTCTTGCTTGTTAGACAGGGCATTTGCAATGGCAGTTTGGAGTATAACTAAATTATCTGTGGAAGAGCCGTGTTGTCTGAAACCTGACTGTGCGAAATTATGTCATTTTTCTTAAAATACCAGAGCAATCTTTTATTCATCATTTTCTTTCATTAACTTGCACATAGTACAGGTAAGAGCAATTGGTCTACGAGTTGGAAAGAGTGGAAGTTCAAAATATATTTTACCATATGTGTTAATCTGCTTGCCACAAAGTTTAAATAAGTGGGAATAGTCTTTTAAGAGTTTTAAGTACCTCATATGTATTAGATCAGAAACTGGTAATTTTGAAGTCCTACGTTTTTCCTTATTTTTAAGAAATCAGTAAACACGGGCTTACAACTTACAAAGTTTTGAAACCGTACTCATCATATATATTTTGTAAAACATTTTGCCCCAGCAGTGTTATTTTTTGTGAGAAAATAAATTTTTTTTTTTTTAAATAAATAAAATATTTCTAAAGTAGATTTAAGAAATTTCTGTAATCTGTCATGTCACTCTTCTTTTTTGTCAATGTCAAAGTAATGGTCCTTTTTTTTAAGAAACACGACCAACCACTGGCCTTTTTTAAAAAAGTAATTTGGCTATCTTTGACTACATACTGTATGAGATAAAGGCCATCTAAAAGACAAATAAATACGAAGAAATAGACTAAATTTCTTCAAGAAAAAGTCAGGATAATTATAAAAATATAGAAGAATTAAATAACCTAAAATCTAATATAATATCAAAAATTCATGAAATAAAATAATACATTTGGGACCAACATATTATTTTATTTTATCTATGACTGAGAGAATAAATTATATTTATCGAAAACCATGAATATCAATGAAAATAAACGATGGGGAGAATGTAGCAGAGAAAAAATAGGCGAAGCCCTTGTTAAAAGCGTTCCATATAATAAAAGTCGTAAACAAAGAAGTATTTGGAAACAATTTATGGAATTTTGAAATTCTCGGGAATACAAAATCGAAATGTTAGCTGCATTTTTAAAAGATTACGCGTTTAATATGTAAAATATGTTTAATTAATCGGTAATTCATTCATCTTTGGTAATTCATTCGTCTTCGGTAATTCATTCGTCTTTCACAATTTGTAGCATAGGGGGTGTTATGTTAAGCATTTCTTGTCCTGTTTGGTCTTTTAGCTCACAGATATTTTACACTGAAAGGCAAAGACTATTTCATTAGGAAACCTAATTTTGCCTTACCCTAATTTGATACCAAAATTTTATCGACGAAATTGCAACATTTGTTTCTCAGATTTTTGCATCATGTTAACGAAAAAGCGAGGAGATGTGGAAAACATTATTTCTGCTCCGATCTTTATGAAATTTGGCAGAGTGTTACAGTAAGCAATTTAAAATGTCTGGTTGGTATCTGCTTTTATCTATCTAAAATAATTTTTGAGAAATGAGCCTCAACTTTTGAACTAGTTCAGTTAAAGCGGAACAGAGTATATTTTTGAGATCCAGACGTTCCAGTCTATATGTACGTCAATTTTGTTTAACTTTTATTTTTCCAAAAAAAACGAAAGGGTATAGCCTTCCAAATTTTTTGACAAAAAAAATTTTTGTCTTCTATTTCAATGCAAATTTGGGTACATACAAAAGAAAGGAAGGTAAATTACGGGGTGAACTCAGTTGCTTTCTATCTCTAAGGGTTTACTTTTTTTTCGTGTTCCTCAGTTACTAATTACCGGAACATTCTATAAAGTCACACAAACGTAGAACCGTATAGATATAATAGAGCGCTCTATGCCGTTCGTTCCTATATTAAGCCGTTTTTAGAGTTATTCAAATTTTAAAAATGTCGATTTTGCGTTACCCTGAATGGCAATGACTATTTAATTAAGGAACCTAATTTTGCGTTACCCTAATTTATAAGGTAAGTTGATTAAGGAACCTAATATTTTTGTTGCTTTTAAAACACCACCATACATTTCTGTTATCCGATACAAAAAATTTATCGACGAAATTGCAACGTTTGTTTCTTAGATTTTTGCATCATGTTAACGAAAAAGCGAGGAGATGTGGAAAACATTATTTCTGCTCCGATCTTTATGAAATTTGGCAGAGTGTTACAGTAAGCAATTTAAAATGTCTGGTTGGTGTCTGCTTTTATCTATCTAAAATGGTTTTTGAGAAATGAGCCTCAACTTTTTAACTAGTTCAGTTAGAGCGGAACAGAGTATATTTTTGAGATTTAGACGTTCCAGTCTATATGTACGTCAGTTTTGTGTAACTTTTATTTTTCCCAAAAAAACGAAAGGGTATAGCCTTCCAAATTTTTTGTCTTCTATTTCAATGCAAATTTGGGTACATACAAAAGAAAGGAAGGTAAATTACGGGGTGAACTCAGTTGCTTTCTATCTCTAAGGCTTTACTTTTTTTTTCGTGTTCCTCAGTTAATAATTACCAGATTATTCTATAAACTCACACAAACGTAGAGCCGTATATATATAATAGAGCGCTCTACGCCGTTCGTTCCTATATTAAGCCGTTTTAGAGTTATTCAAATTTTAAAAATGTCGATTTTGCGTTACCCTGAATGGCGATGAATATTTCATTAAGGAACCTAATTTTGCGTTACCCTAATTTATAAAGTAAGTTGATTAGGGAACCTAATATTTTTGTTGCTTTTAAAACACCACCACGCATTTCTGTTATCCGATACAAAAATTTTATCGACGAAATTGCAACGTTTCTTTCTCAGATTTTTGCATCATGTTAACGAAAAAGCGAGGAGATGTGGAAAACATTATTTCTGCTCCGATCTTTATGAAATTTGGCAGAGTGTTACAGTAAGCAATTTAAAATGTCTGGTTGGTGTCTGCTTTTATCTATCTAAAATGGTTTTTGAGAAATGAGCCTCAACTTTTGAACTAGTTCAGTTAGAGCGGAACAGAGTATATTTTTGAGATCTAGACGTTCCAGTCTATATGTACGTCAATTTTGTTTAACTTTTATTTTTCTCAAAAAAACGAAAGGGTGCCTTCCAAATTTTTTGACAAAAAATTTTTTTGTCTTCTATTTCAATGCAAATTTGGGTACATACAAAAGAAAGGAAGGTAAATTACGGGGTGAACTCAGTTGCTTTCTATATCTAAGGGTTTACTTTTTTTTTCGTGTTCCTCAGTTATTAATTACCGGAACATTCTATAAAGTCACACAAACGTAGAGCCGTATAGATAGAATAGAGCGCTCTATGCCGTTCGTTCCTATATTAAACCGTTTTAGAGTTATTCAAATTTTAAAAATGTCGATTTTGCGTTACCCTGAATGGCAATGACTATTTCATTAAGGAACCTAATTTTGCGTTACCCTAATTTATAAAGTAAGTTGATTAAGGAACCTAATATTTTTGTTGCTTTTAAAACACCACCACGCATTTCTGTTATCCGATATAAAAATTTTATCGACGAAATTGCAACGTTTGTTTCTCAGATTTTTGCATCATGTTAACGAAAAAGCGAGGAGATGTGGAAAACATTATTTCTGCTCCGATCTTTATGAAATTTGGCAGTGTTACGGTAAGCAATTTAAAATGTCTGGCTGGTGTCTGCTTTTATCTATCTAAAATGGTTTTTGAGAAATGAGCCTCAACTTTTGAACTAGTTCAGTTAGAGCGGAACAGAGTATATTTTTGAGATCTAGACGTTCCAGTCTATATGTACGTCAATTTTGTTTAACTTTTATTTTTCTCAAAAAAACGAAAGGGTATAGCCTTCCAAATTTTTTGATAAAAAATTTTTTTGTCTTCTATTTCAATGCAAATTTGGGTACATACAAAAAAAAGGAAAGTAAATTACGGGGTGAACTCAGTTGCTTTCTATCTCTAAGGGTTTACTTTTTTTTTCGTGTTCCTCAGTTACTAATTACCGGAATATTCTATAAAGCCACACAAACGTAGAGCCGTATAGATAGAATAGAGCGCTCTATGCCGTTCGTTCCTATATTAAGCCGTTTCAGGGTTATTCAAATTTTAAGAACCATCGAATTTGCGTTACCCTGAATGGAAATGACTATTTCATTAAAGAACCTAATTTTGCGTTACCCTAATTTATAAAGTAAGTTGATTAAGGAAC